AATGAAGGCAAGATCACAATATGAAATTCAAATTTTCATATTTTACGGTTGAATCTATCTATAATAAAATCTGGATGCTGTTCCAAACACTAAAACTTTAATTCAGTGTATTAGTGTATTTAGTTAAAGATACTATGTATAGCTACTTCCAGACCTTTTGATTTAATAATTTACGATTAAATATAATTGTATTTCAAAAATTTATGAAATACCTCACAAATTAAATATTCCGGTAATTAAAATTGAAAATTTTGGAAAATTTTCTTTAATTGTATTGATCTTATTCAAAATAATTTTTGAATTCCTATGAACCAAAATTTTATTATTAAATACCTGACAATAATTGTAATATACATATAAAATTTTAAGGTATTTAAAATTCTTCCCAAATACACTTCTTTCCATACTATAATTATTTTCTATTCAAATTTATATTAATAATTAAAAACCATATTATATAATTAAATTCTTCTCACTTAAATTTTCAATTTTCATCCCATCTCATCATTAACGTAATATTATATAAATACTTCCATATTATTGTTATATTGCAACATTATACAGGAATTCACACTACATTATACGAACATTTATATATTTATATTTAATATATCCTTTAGGAATCCAAAAAATGAGATTAATTAAAATTAATTATATTATAACACAAAAATCTATCCTTATATATGAAAAGAAAAAAACCAAAACATTAGAAAAATATATAAAGAAATTAAATAACAATAAAGATGTTATACAATATCCATCAACATATTTTCCTATATTTTCAATTTTTATACAACATATAATAATATACATTAATGAAGACATTTATACATATTCGTATATATACCACAATGTGTATCCTTTTATACAAAAAAATATATGGTAAAGAATATATCCGGTTTTTATTTTTATGGATGCTCTCTTTTCTATGTCATTAAAAGAAATTAAAGATTTTTATTTTATAATAAAAATAAAAGTGGAAGGAAGAGTAAAGGAAATAGAAAGCAACAAACAGCAAATCAGAGAACGAGAAAATCTTTACTTTCAATTCAACAGAATAACACCAAAAAAGGAAAATGAAAATCTCTTCCAGACACAACATATAATAGACACTCTTGTGTTCATATGAATATCCGTAAACACATAAACATATTATGCATATATTTAGAAAACTAATATAGCTATATATATATATATATACAATTTTCACCTCATTAAATCTTAACACTTAGAATATTCGTATATAATATAAATAAAAACAAAAATTTTTATATTAAATCAAATATCTACATTCTATACTTGAGTATAACACTTATCATACACAATACAATACAACACAACATGTATGATATCCTCCTATAATACAAGAATATATATAATGCAATTACTCTATATTATGTATGTATGTAATACATGGTGGTGTTTTTTTTATGCATTATAAGGATTCTTAATTCTAGAAAATTCCAATTAGTCTACCTTTTATATTAGTGAAGTGCTTAAAAAAAAAAACAATAATACATTTCTTCCCTTTTCTATACAGTAAATGTTTGATAAAATAAAATGAGTTGGAAAGAATGAAATACAAAACGACATAAAACTTGTATGTAGTAAATAGAAAATATTGTTACCCAATTACAATTTTATAACATACAATTCAATTAGTGTATATAGAGGAGATTTTTATTAAATAAAAAATTACATACACACATACATATTATATGTAAATTTGTATTAAAGTAGTCAAGTATACTTTAAGTATATACTTACATAATATCCTGCGGTGAAGATATAGAAAAATAATATTGAGAAGAAGAATTAAGAAAACCCGAAAAAAAAATCGATTATGCAAATTTTTCAAGGATTTTAAGGATTTTATTTAACACAAAATCTCTTTATTTAATTATTTAATTGTTATAATTTGAGGACTTTTTTTTCACCCATTTTATTAGAGTAATTTATAAAAAAAATAAAGTAAAAAAAGCATATGAGATTCAAATTATTTAATTTTTTTTCCAAACATAGAAGTTAAATTTTATTATGTGCAATTTAAAACAAAAAAAAAAAAATTAAATTTTAGAATTGACTACCCACAAGCAGAAAGGGAAATCTAATTTAAGTTTTGGAATTCTTTCATAAAATTTTCATTAAAAAATTAATTTACTAAAATATATTTGTATACATTTGCGATTTTAAACACAAATTTAACTCAATGCATCTACATTCTGCATCTTAATTAATTATATTTTTTACCTTCTTAGAGAATATAGAGCCTATATACAAACAAGGGACAAGACTATCCTGAAATTCGCAATATACAATAAGCTTTTGTACAATAATACTTTTGTACAAAAACCTTTTTATTTCCGGAGCACCAATTACGGAGTTCCATTACTAACCAATTCATTTTGATTTCTAGAATCTCTTTTTCCAAAAAAAATTTTAAAATATTTGTATTTTAATAAGACAACTAAGCATAAGTAAGTCGTAAGTATTTTTTATTAATTTAAGACAAGTTCAGTATCCTACTCAATAACTGTAATATAAAATCAATTTAGAACTTTAACATTTTTAAAATTTATTTCTGATTTCAGAAATTAAAAATTCTGACAAAATCTATAAATGGTAGATATTTAACTAATTTGTAAGAGAAATTAAAAATTTTGCAACTACTTCTTCCGTATTATTTAAATGAAGGCAGGCCCGGTTCCCACTTGTTTGGCGCCCTAAGCCGGTTCCAAAAAGGGTACTTCCCGCCTTCCACTCTCGTTACAATGCTGAATGGTAGATTAGTCGTAGAATTAAAAGCCTGGAATTAAACTTCCAGATTTTTTTTTTGAAATTTTTGTATATCTTTCTTTTCAAAATTTTTAATGACGCCCCTGTTTTCTGGCGCCTATTGCAAATGCATACTTTGCATATATGGTAAATCCAGTGCTGAGTGAAGGTGCCAAGGTACAGAGAAATCGAATAAATTAAAGTATTTAATGAATATCTTAGGTCTTATCTTAGAAAAATTCTAAAATTTAAAACAAAATTTTCAGCTTTCAATAATATATTTTAGGATAAAATATTTTAAGATTTAAATGAAATTTTTTTTTGTTAAAATTTTTTTCAAGATCCCGGGGATTTTTCATTTCCTTCCTTAAAACTATTTCAGACGGTAGTTTGCAATTTCTCTCGAATACAATAAAAATTTGATATTCATTTTAAAAATATTTTATATTATTGCATTTCTCTTAAGTGTACATACATATATCCATATCCTTATTTATAAAATTCAAATCAAAAATTCTTATTCGAAATATAAAATTAATGGAAATAACTATACAATATATACAAGTAAGTATAGTTTCTTATTGTAGATAAAACAAAATATTAAAACATTTTAAAAGCCATTAATTTATTTTCACATTAAGTAAAGTATACATACTATACATATATGTAACGTATTCCATCACTCTCCCACTCTACTCTTCATTTGTATGTATGATCTGGTCCTACTCTCTAATGTGAATTTTTTCAAAAGTGTATACTTTATCTAATGGGATTCACATAAACAGAAATATATAAGAAAACACAGAAAAAAATATAATGTGAGAAATAAATGACCCCATTATTCTATAATAAAAAAAAAATACTATATGTAGAAATGCTATACTTAGTTAGTAGTAATAGTATACCCTCTCTATATAATCACGAAAAATATTGTTGGGAAAAAAATAGGAAAATCGTGTGAAAAACGATCTGCTAAAATAGAAAATTTTCTTTAATTTGATTTTTAAGTTTTTTTTTTTATTTTCTCATTTTTTCCTCTCTAATTTCATTTATTTGATTTTACTTTTCGTTTTCATAAAAAAATATCAAGAAAACACAATAAAAAAATGATAAAGAAAATAAAAAATTTTAAGAATTTTCAATTTGTCCATCTGTCTGAGATGTCAGTCCAGTCCACTCTTTGTACTATACACTGAAGAACCACTGTACATATTTTTTTTTTCATTTATTTTTATTTTATTTTGTACATTTGTTTCATTTAAAATTACATTTTTTTTTTGTTATTTTTTTTTTTTTTGAAATTTTTATAGTCTTATCCATTATGTCTACAACATATAAAAAGAAAGACTTATTATTGTACACAATATGTAGGTACATCGGGATTCGGGATAAGAAATAAATCTGATGGATTCTCAACTTTTATATATGTATGTATGTTCGAATGTATGTACATTTGTAATTGTTTAAAATGTACACGAGTATATTGGCACGTAAAGTTTTAACTTGTAATCCATCCTAACATGTATTTATAATCTTGCTCTCGGCATGTTCAATACGATAAAGTGACATTTTTAATGTTCCTATCCATCTTTTATCTATATACAAGAAAGGATATTTTTTAAGCACATTACATACATGTACATAATATGTATACAATAATATTATATTGTACAAGGAAATTGTAAAAATTGAAATAAAAAATAAAAAGACCATAGAAACACAATTTATCCCTTTCATGTCAAATTGAGAGCATCAACTATTTGGAATTGATAAAAAAAAAAATTGTATTTAACAATGTATGTATTTAAAATTTGTAATATAGTGGACAAAAATTTATTTTGAAATTTTAAAAAATATTGGGCACCCACTGGAAATTGTAATTGTAATTATTTTGTGTTCGTATCTAAGAATCAAGATCACTACTTAATAACCTCTTCGCTATTCTGCTTCGCTATTTTAACAGCAGTTCAACAAATAACAGAATTCTTGTACCTTAAAACGTATTATTCATTTGCAATTCTAACTCAGAAAATTATACATATATGTATATACTTTCTAAGGTTATTTGTTTTTATAGATCTAGTAATTTACTGTCAAAAATAAAACTAATTTAATTTTAAAATCTTAGTATACAATTAATAATATGTAGATAATTTTTATTTTTTTTTTAATAATTTTAAATTTTTAATTATAATTTTATTTCTTGATTTCATACAATTCTATAGGAAGTCTACAAATTGAAAATAGCCGAGAAGAAGATCAAGGAAAATATGAATGTGTTGCTGAAAATTCAATTGGTACAGAACATTCAAAAGCAACATCATTATATGTTAAAGTTAGACGTGTATCACCAAATTTTTCAAGACCACCAGAACCATTAAATGAAGTTATGTTAGGTGCTGATTTAAATTTAACATGTGTTGCTGTTGGTTCACCAATGCCGCATGTTAAATGGATGAAAGGTAAAATTATTTATAATACTAATATATGTATGTATGTATGTGTAATTTGTTTAAAAAATAATAATAGTATTAAAATTATGTATTTAACAAAAAGGCGTCCCGACGTTAGCCACGTCGACCTCACATTTAGTCTAATCTAATTTTCAAAGAAATTTCACTCGATTTTTATAATTTAAAAGAATTTATGAATATCTTCAACCTTTCCATCACTTGTTCTTTTATAAAGATGTACGAAATTTTATTGAAAATTCAAAAACAAAATGATTCCCGAGAAATATTAAATAAACACAATTTTCTTAATACAGCAAAAGAAAATCATAATTTCCATTTCATATACTAAGTATAGCTAATACTTTTTAATAGTAATTTTAATTTCCTAAATAATAATGATTTTCCAAAAATTCAATTCTAATTATGTATATCGTAATTTAAAATTTTATATTGGTATAAGCAAGCCTTGAATAAATTGTTTAAAATTATTTATTAATTTTCAAATATTTATTTAAAAAAAAAAAAAGTAATTTTAAACAAATATTTTTAAATAAAATAAATATTGGCATATAAATTTCCAAATAAATAAATTTATGTTTTTATTGAATTTTTTTATTATATTTTTTTTTTTTTTAGGAGCTGAAGATATTACACCTGATAATGATATACCAATAGGAAGAAATGTATTACAATTGAAAAATATTCAAACATCAGCAAATTACACATGTATTGCGGCATCATCGTTAGGACAAATTGAAGCAACAGCTATAGTTAAAGTACAATGTAAGTAACATAGTCGCTGTAATTAACTGTAAATACAAAATAATAGGCGTGTATGTACGATGTAATATAGATTATTATCGCTATGGAAATTTAAATATGATTTAAAAAATTTTAGAACATTTTATGGTTCAAAATTAAATTTGTGTTCATTATGTTGTTAATTATTTTGGTATGGAAATAATGGTATGACATACAATAATGGTATGATTCATACCAGGTTACATACAATACTTACATTTATAAAAAATTACAGCTTCTATTCAAAATTTTCTGAATTTATTTTTCAGCTTTTTTTACAGTGTTTTTTGTTTCTAAATTCAATACCGCAATATTTTACGATATCACCAAAATTCAAAAAATATTTTAATTAAATGCCGCGACACCTTCAAACAGTACATGATTTTATCTATCTCTATTATCAACATATCGATTCATACCAATTTTATGAAAAGAAATTTGGTTTTTATGTGAAACAATTCAAAATATTGCAGCCTTACATTTATTAAAACACAATATTTTCTATGATTTCTATAAATAATCTACGGTATGGTTTCTATAAATAATCTACATATGATTTCTATAAATAATCTACGGTAATTTACGGTATTATTCTCAAAAATTACGGTATAAATTTACGGTATTATTCTCAAGGTACGATATTATGTAAAATAATGGATTAATAATTATTTCCATTATTATTAATAATATATTCAATCTTGTCCCCTCAATATGAGCCTTGAATTCTAAATGCCCTTATTAATTTATTAATATATTTATTTTGAAATCAAAATAAAACTTGAAATTCTTTAACACTCACTTCCAATTTTATGCTATATTTAAAACGAGATAAACCAAAAATTCAACATTCTATGAAAATTCTTGAAAGTGTTTTTTTTTTTGAGAAATTCTTTTTTTTGAGGCAAAAGTTAATCCATTTTATACAAGTATTCGTTTTTCTTCATAATTTATTTATTAATTGCCCTTTATCATCTTAATTTTATTTTTCATAAAAATTTCCATTTTTAAATCATTTAATGGAAAAATTTTTAAAAATAAAATTTTAATATTTAAAATAATTTTTTTTTAAAGAGAAATGTTACAGCGACAACCAGTACATCCTTATACCAGCATAATAAAATTATTAATGTTAGAAAATAACATTTCTATAAATGTACGAGTACAAGGTGTTTCATATACGTATACAAGCTCATAATATTTAAATCGAGTAAGAAGGGAATTGTGTTTCACTAGAATGCTCAGAATTTTATTAATGCTCAGACTGTAATAATTTCGTTAATAATATAAGGCTTTCGGTATAGCAATTTTGCGAAAATGTAGTGAATGAATTATGATTTTGCGATAAAATTTTCATATTCTTTAGGGTTGTATTTAGTTTTTAATCAGTAAAATTTACTTATTTTTCCAATTTAAAGAAAGTGAATATCTGGAAGAAATACGAAATTGTAACAAAATTTTATTTTCGATTAATTACATTTAAATGGACTAGAATCGAGATAATGAAACATAAAAAATCTAAAAAGTAAATAACTCTTAATAACTTTAAAACTTTTCGAAGTGTTTAATTTTCTTAGCGATGCATTTTCTTAATGCAAATTTTATTCACGCATTCTATAGAAAATTTAATTAAGATTGAAAAAGAATCTTATAGTAAAATTATCCGTGTTTACTATATAGAACGACACGAGTTCTGGAGTACCATTTTTCTTTAATATTCTGAATAAAGTCCAGCATTTTAATTTAAAGAATAGTATATGACTATGCATAACTATTATGTAATAGAATTCTTACAATTATACAAAAATATTTTATCATTTCATTTAAATTTACAAAATATACCATTATTAGGTCTAGTCCCAATAGGGATAGATTATGCTCCAGAATTAAATCCTTATGATAATTTTGTTATTGGCCCCTTAATGATCCTTATCGTTAATTGTTCACTACTAAAGAGGTCGCGCATTTATTTTCCCTTGAGATTTCCATATTTTCGTACGCTAATGAAATACCTACTAATATCTTTTATTTCAAATACTAATTTCCTCTTTATAAATTTCTTAGTTATTAATAATTTTGCATTCTTTCGCTTTCCTGCTTCTTTTACATTATATTTTTCTTTACATTCTACCTAACACAAAATAAAATAAATAGAATTCTTTCCTTTTTAATAAAAACAAAATTTTTAGTTTTATATTTTTATACTTATAATAATGCCTATATTTTTTTTTTGTATTTATAGCATTACCAGCAATGCCCACAGATGTTCAAATCTCAGAGGTGACAGCAACATCTGTCCGTTTAGAATGGTCATATAAAGGACCTGAAGAATTACAATATTACGTTATACAATATAAACCAAAGAATGCTAATCAGGTGAGAAAAATTGCTTGTTGTTTCTTTTCTTTTACTTTTCTCTTTGTTTTTTTTTATCACTTATATTCTAGCAATTTCACTCTCCATATTTCAAAAGGATCACAATTGTTTTGTTTTATTTTTTGTAATATTTTTTAATTTAATTTTTATTCAGGTTTTTATTACCATAATTTTTTTTTGCACCTTTCACCCCATTACTTTTATTTCTATGGTTTTATTCTTTTTATTTTTTATAAAAAAATAAAGTATAATTTGAGAAAATTTTTAAAATAAAATTGAAGGCAAAATGTAGTGCTGTCAGTGAAAATTTACTTGAATATTTTAGAATTTTTAAATTTTAAAGTTGGTTTTAAAGGCAATATTGCTTTAACTAAAAATTTTATCAACAAAAGCTTAAATTTGATTTTCAGTAAAATGCAATATAACAATAGCTTTATTATACAAGGTGTTTCGAGTAAAGTGGCACATGATTTCATGGATGATTTTTTGATAAATTTTCAGTAAAAAATTGTACGGTTTGGGAGGGGATGGAGGATGTGTTTAAATATACTCGTTTTCGAGCTACAGCCTGTTAAAAAAACGGTACCAGTTATTTTTTGCATATAAATAAATGTGTATAACTTCAGAACCATGTAATATAGAGTAACCATCAGTGGCTGGTTTCACAGGCAATTGATGGTTCTTTATTTTCGGTCTTACAATTGATTTAACTTGTTCCGAAGTAGCGTCTATTTACATGACGGAAAAATCTGGTATATTTGTTTTTTAGCAAGCTGAAGCTCGAAAACGAGTATATTTGCACCCTTCCCCCCCCCCAACTGTACAACTTTTTGATGGTATTTGATCAAAGAATCATCCCTGAAGTTATTTGCCAGTTTATGCGAAACACCTTGTATATTAAATTAAAATGATTTAGTTAGATGGTGATAGCTGTCTTTTTCTCAGCCATTCTAAATTACAATAACCATTCTAAAAATATAAAAATGAGAACGTATACAAAATAAAATAAATGAAAAATCTAAGCAAAAAGAAGAAAAAAAAATAAAATAATAATAGTAATGAAAGAAATATCAGTTAAAATAAGTATAAAGGTATACACATAAATCCTTTTGAGAAATTACTTTTCAACTGCTTGGGTAATAAAACAAATTTTTCTTTTCACAAGTAATTACCTATCATTTGCTTTTCCTTTTGTTTTCATTTCAACCTTAAAAACTGTTACAAATTTTCTTTTTTTTTCTCTTTTTTCCTTCTTCTCTCCTTCTCTTTTATAATTTTGAATTTCATTTGCATTCGGTTTAAGGATTTTAATTAATATATTCAATATAAAAGTAATGAAATGAAGCACAGTATAATGACAATATTTTGGGTAATTCAAATTAAATGTCCTGGAATTAAATAAAGTTGGGTCAAACCAATGGTTTGTATTGTAGCACTTTTCCCTTCAACAAGTGAAAATTCTGCTTTTAAATACAGTCTATGTATAGCTATCACACTATTAAAATTATTTTCATTCATATACAAAACTATTTCTAGGATTGCATATATTTAGGATGACGCATATATGCAGTCTTTGAAATAAAGCAAAAATTAATATAAAAAGGGGTTAACATAATGCTCGATTTTAAGGGTTAATTGTGTGAGTTAAGAAAAATAATTATATTTTTTAATTTCACGGAATTTACCGTTAGCTTTTTGCGTTTATAAAAATTTAGAAAAGTTTGCGGTTTCGGAAATATAAGGTGTCAAAAATTTTACGAATTTCAAGAGGTGATAACTTGAGAGGGGGTGGAGATGGAAAAAAATTTTCTTCTAACAAATTGAACTATTTATTAATATCTAAAAGCTCCTAAAATTTCAAGCTTCTACAGTCTGGGGTCTAGAAGAAAAACGACATCAAAAATTTGGAAAAAAAGGACTTTAAATAACGGTAAATTTGAGCGGCCATTTTGTTTTTCTTAAGTTGAACTATAGTATACCGCGCAAGAGGAAGCAAGCCACTGCTTTTCTGCGTTTGCAAAATTTCAAAAATGCTTATGGTTTCATTGCAACAAATATTTAAAAAAGGCCATTTTTAGGGTTTTGGGGGGGTATAACTTCTAGAGGGGGGGAGATAGGTAAAAATTTTGTTCTACGGAAATAAGTTTCTAGTGAAGATCTATGTACGTATTAAATTTCAGCTTTCTATCTTGAAAGGTGTAGAAGTTTTGTAAACAGACACACGGACAGACGGACGGACGAACGGACGGACGGACGGACGGACAGAGTGAAACTAATAAGCACTTTTTTCAAAAAATTTTTTGGAAAAGTGCTAAAAACAAAAAAATATTAAGTAAATAAAAATTATTGTTCTATTTTTAACATTTTTAATTATAACATATTAAAACGTAATTCATTCTAATTTTAAGAATGTACATGTGAAAACCTAATTTAAAATTATTTTTGGAATTCACGATTGCATTGTGATTTATGAAGCTAGAAAGCTGAAATTTTATACGTGCATAGATATTTTAATAGAAACCTATTTCCATAGAAAAAATTTTTTTTTTATATTTCCCAGAAATTTAACGGGAAATGCGATGACGTCCAAAAAATATAATTATTTTTCTAAACTCACGCAATTAAGCCTTAAATTCGAGTAATATGTTAACAACTATTTAAATTTGATTTTTTTTTTTATCTAATCCTAAATGTATACAATATATTTAAAATACTTGATAATTTTTATTCATATACAACAAGTATATGAAACGTAACCGCCAGATTGTTGTAAGCTGGAACGTAAATAGTTAGATTGAATTTTGAATTGTTGAAGGGAAAAGTGGTATTTTACAAAATATTGCTTTGACCAAACTTTATTTTTAATTACGTATGTAGGTATTTATGTAGATAAACCCCAATTATTTATATTCCCGTATTAATTTTTGGGTTTATTTGAAAATTTATGATTTTTGCACTTGATTTTCTTCAATTTCATTTACTAAAATTTAACAAATTTTAATGCTACTCCACATGACTCCATATATAGAAGTAGCCTAAAAATATGCACTTATGTTTTCGATATTATTATTATTTTTTCTTTCAAATTTATCTTGCACAACGCTATCCCATTCCTATATACATACTTATTTGCAAATATAGTTGAACAAAATTCTATTCTCAATTTTCATATTTTATTTGAAGCAGGCATTTAGCGAAATCAGCGGGATTATAACAATGTATTATGTTGTGAGAGCCTTAAGCCCATATACTGAATATGAATTTTATGTGATAGCTGTAAATAATATTGGACGTGGACCACCATCAGCACCAGCAACATGTACCACTGGTGAGACTGGTAAGTAATAATAATTATAAAAATTTTGTTTTATAAAAAAAAAAAAAATATTTTTAAACTTTTCTTTCTTTAGCAATTTCTTTTCTGATTTTAGTTCTTCTACTTTCTTCTTGTTTTCTTTTTATCTTTTAGTTTAGTTAAAAAATAAAATTATTCTTCTTCTAATTTTCATTCTTTATTTTGTTTTTTTTTTTTTTCATTTATAATTTTTTCCTTTAACACTCTAATAACAAAAAAATTTTTTTCCTCAAATATTCTAGTTTGCGATTTAGTTTCATTTCATATATTTTTTTTTTAATTCTAACGATACTTCAAATATTAAAATTACAGTTAGTGTCTAAAAAATAACCTTCTTTAATTTTTAATCTTTAATATTCTATCTATATATATATAGAAATTCATTTTTTAATTGCCATTATCTTTGCTTTTTGTTTTAAAAAAATTTTCGAATTTTTTCGAATTTTCAACTCATTTATATTAAAAATTTCGTTGTTAAAAGTTGTTTCTTTTTATATATTCTTTGTTGTTAAAAAAAATAATAATTTCAAACTTAAAGTCAAGTTTACACTCTTGAGCGCAACAAACGAAAAGTAAAACAAAGATAATTAAGGTGGTATAAAAACTTCATTTTTACATTTCGTCATTTTTAATACAAACAAAAAAAAAAAACGCTCATAAAAATTAATTTTGTAAAATCTTAATCTTTGTAAGGTTTGAATCTAGGGGTTTTAAAAACAAAATTGAATTTTATTGCTGAATATTGCTGACATTTTTGAAATAACAATTTCATAATTACATAAGTGATCAAAATGTATTGATAGTATAAAAAAATTAAAAATGTTGTCAATTTGAAAATTGTAGCAATTTCATATTATTCAAATTCACAATTCAGCTTATAAATGATAACTGCTGAATTCAGTGTAATTAGTAAATGCTGAATTAAGCACTCTAATGCAAGTTGTAAAAGTTACAATTGCTGAATTGTCGAACAATTTTAAAGTAATGAGATTTCTACAATTTTGGAGATTACAAACTAGTCTTGTTGCTAAAAATGTCATTAATTTTCTATTCACAACCTATTATCAACTATTTTCATAATTAACACTAATTTCATTTATTTTAAAATTATGTTAATTATAAATATAATAATAATTGGATGTTATGGCTTCTTTCACCAATTTAATGTTTCATTTACATACATATATGTAATCAGCATATAGTTAATAGCCACTTTGGACAAAAATACATTTTGACAATATCCAAACGACTGGAAAAAGAAAAAAATCTACATTTATAAATGAAATTTCTCTCATTAAATTCAGAATAGTTCAGAACTTTCATTTGTTTGCATTTTGTAAAGCTATAACTTCTAGCTTTAGGGTGCTTTTATCTAATAGATTACTTAGTTTTTATAGTGAAAATGTGTAAATCGTGATTTGGAATCTGTTCTAGTGGCGGCTCTAAAATGTTTACGTATCATAACAATATTCTGAATTGAAATTCCGGCAGAAAGGAATCTATACATTTTCAAGTCTAAAGAAAATTTTAAATACTTATTATATACACTATTATTTTCTACCATTTATAGCGTTTTCTTCCAAAATTTTCATGTCGGATTCATTTTATGTTCGAGTAATTCATAGTGGCTATAATTAATAACTGTATTGATTTCATTCTTAAATCCTAGACCTGCAGAATTTTTATTATTATTTACATCATAATTTAGTACTCATGGTGTTGAACTTATTGTAGTTGAACACAAGGAACATTAGTTAAGTTATAAAAATGCTGATTTGTTTCTTCAACATAAGGAAGCATAAAAAAAAAAGCGTTTCACATTTCTCTCGATTTTTAATTCTGAATACTAAAACTTAACAACTATAATTTTTATGGTTTATAAGTGTCTTACGCACTATGATTTAGATTAGACTGATTTATTTATTAAGTGCAAACGAAAACTTCTTACTTCTCTTTTTGTTAACATATTTGACGTCTTTTGATGAAGTTACAATCATTTCAATAGCTCATCCTATTTAAAACATTTTGTTATTGTTTGCTTGATTGACATGGCCGGTGCAACAGGTCCAATCCCCCTCAAATTAGCACAAATGTCTCGTTTTGCTACCACTACTCTACTATTACCTACATTTATTGTACGATTACAGGCCATATGCTCATAGTATTCAATCAAAAATTTCCAAAGTAATATGCACCAATTGTTTATACCTTAACAATTTCGCTACATAAAAACTAACTGTAATTTTAAAAATTTTTTTTCTACAATTATATTTTCTTATTTTTGTATAATTTTTCATTGCTGTATAACTTTTATTTAATGTAGACAATATTATTGAAGAAGAAGAAAAAATCTAATTTTTCTTCCGCCATTAATTTAATTTTGCTTTTGTTAAAAAATTTTGAGTTATGTCAGGAGTTTTTTTTTTTTTTTTCATAAGTAAAATTTTAATTTTTACCCTGCCACTTCATATGTTTTTTTTTTTTTTGTTTAATAATCTCTATTTTTCCTTCCTATAATATCGTTTTTTCTTTTGTATTTTGATCCACTGCAAGTAAATAACTGTATATTATATATAAAATTATATTATAACTGTAAAACAAAAATCAAACAATTTTTTGACGAATTCTCTTTTTTTTTCATGTTTTTTTCTCTCTTTTTTACTACTCTCATTCATGTTAAATTTTGTGTCAATGTCAACTATGAAAAAATTTACGATATAAAAAAAAAACATACGACATATTTTTTTTTTCTTGTTGGTTTTATTCAATCAATTTAACACCATGATTGGTAAAATGGTGTCCTATGGTGGATTTTTTGGAATTTTTTGGTACCGCTATAATATTCATCATTCATATACGCTCATTTGATCACATATTCATCTATACAAAAAAAAAAAATCTTTGCTGTTTACGATAACTTGAATGAAACAAAAACAAAAAAAAATTTTTGATTTTTTAAAAAAAAAACTAAAAAATAAATAAAAAAAAATGTAAAAAAAAAATGTTTTTTTTTACTCTTATTTTTTCTTTTTTTTATTTATTTTTTTTTTCTGTTGTTTCTTTGCGTAAGCGATAAAATAGATTTGATAGAATTTTGTGTTCCTTATTTCCGTTGTATTTTATTTTCAGTATTCGTACATTTTTATTTCGTTAGCCTAGTGTTTCCGTTTTATATGAGTTTTTCTTTTCTTTTTTGTTCTTTTTGAGAATTTATTAGTTATATTGTGGTTATTCTTGACTTTTATTACATTTTTGGTTTGTCAAAAATTTTAGGTTCGTTTTGTTGCTTTTTTATTTCTCCATTTTGGTTTTTTTTTCTATATTAATGCTTTATTGATTTTTAGATTATTTATATCTTATTTTTTGATTGAAAATGATTTGGGTACAATTTATCCATTTTAAATTTTTTTTGCTTTTGGTAAAAAAAAATTAAGCATTGAAATTCTAGGTAGCTTATATACAAAATATTTTATACAAATAAAGTTTATGACTTTTTTTTTGATTACAATTGAATAAATTTTAATGCAAAGGAAAAAATTATTGCCTTTGTTTATTAAAAACTATAGGAAAGTAGTGGAAATTTCTTGAATTATCAAAGTACTTTTATTTAAATTGGGTAAGGTGTAGGCAAACATTTGGAAATAAAAATTTTTTTTTACGATATATTGAAAAAATTTAATCAATATTCTAAATTTGAAATTATGTAGGCTTTGTTTGTAATATTTTCATTTAATTCAAATAAAATTGCTACAATAAGAAGAGCTTTAGAGAGCGCCAATAATTTTTCTTGACTGAAAACTGTATTTTAAAAATTGATAAAACTATAAATTTTTTGTGAGTAATACCCTGTTCACAATACAGCGAATAACGTGTTATTCTCGAATTACATTGTTATGCATTGTGTTCAACCAAAATTAAATTTTATATGGAAAAAATCTTTCACTTTAAAACATAATTCCAAGATACCATGTTTTTACTAGTTTTAAAATTTTAATATTAAACATACACAAAAATATTTTTGATTTTCTTTATAACATGTTATTCGAACAGTATAACATGTTATTTTGCTGTAGTTACAATAGAAAATTTATAAAATTTTATAATTAAATGTATTTCATTGAAAATTCTACCTATTAAATTTCGGTTTTAATAACAGTTATTAAATAATTGTTATAAAATTATAAAATTTTTTTCTTCAACATTTAAAGAACAAACATAAATTTTCTCCGTTTCCTTATAAAACAAAATTTTAATTTAAATATTAATTAGAACCCAAAACGGATACCCCTAGTTATAGTTGAAATATATTAATAAATAAATCGGAACTCTGTATTAGTAAGTAATATAACGAAATTGTTACAACGGTTTGTAAAGAAGCCCTTTTCCATTGAACATGTGAAAATAATGCCTTTAATAACAGTCTATTACATTATTTAAATTACGAGTACAAATGTTTTGTATTTTCATTTATGTGAAAATTTTTCAATTTATTGCATACATTTAGGATGTGCCAAAGGTAAGCAATCAAAGAAATATAAACACAGTAATTGCATTCAACGGTTAAGTGAGTTCAGATAAATAATTATAATTTTTGTTGGCATAGCATTTACTGTTTCTTTTTCGCTTTTAGAGAAATTCATAAAATCCTGTAGTTCGGGAAATATAATGCTTTAAAAATTCAATTCTTACAAATTTCTAGAAGCGATAACTTGGAACGGGATTGGAAGTGGAAAATTTCTTATTCATACGAAATAAATTGTTCATTGGTATACAAAAATTGGCTGAAATTTTAGACTCCTAGAAGTTGCCGTCTAGAAAGAATAATGACGTAAAAAATTTGAAAAAAAAAAATTTTTGTCTTAGGTAACGGGTTATTTAAACGGCCTTTTTATCTTTTTAATGTTCAATTGTACTATTATGCCGGAAATTTAACTACACATTTTATTATCGTGTTTTGCTTTTTTTTTTCTGTTGTTCAGCCTAAAGGTATGCCATAAATCCGTATATTTCGGTAGTTTAGTGTACATATCAGTATTTGAATTAGAATAATTGAAATATAATCGTGTTTACTATATTTTTAAAAGCAATATTTTCACTTGTCGCAACGAAATGTGCTATTTTACAAACCACTGGTTCAATCCAACTATATTATAAATTTTTTTCAACTACTCGGTAGTAAAAAATATTTTTAAAGTAAATTAAAGATTTATTCAAAAATTCTAGGCACTCTATTAGGTACTCTATGTATTTTTTGTAGTTTTAAATTTATTTGTAGCTCTATATAAAATTTATTATAGTATTTTTAGTAGAAACTTAAATTGTATCCATTATATAATTAATTAATTTATTATAAACCTCGTATATTTCCGTAATATTTTTTTTTTTTTTTCAAAATAAATTTTGTAAATGCTTTTAATTTTTCATATTTATTTAAAATTTGAATTCAAATATTTTTTTTTTAATTATTTTCTTTATTTATAATTAAAATTTATTTATTTTTCAATGTGATTTTAGTTGAATTTTTAACATTGAAAATTATTAATTTTTTTATATGTATATCAAAAAAAAAATAAATAATCATTCTAAAAAAAAAAATTATTTCATTCTCTTTTCAAATTTTTCATTACGAAAAAAATTAAAAATATTCAAAAATAAAAATTTTCTATCAACATAATAAAAAAATCAAAAATAATCCAAACAAAACCAAAAAAAAAATAACAAATAATTTCGAAATACCAAAAATAAGGTGATTTTACATTTGGAGGAGCAAGTAAGTTTAAAATTCCTTTTTTTTTTTAATAATCTCTCATAAATGATAAAAAAAAAATTAAAATATTTTTCAATTTATTTTTTTTTGTTATTTGAAAATTTGTATTTGATTTATTTTAGAATTATTGGGAAATTTTTTTTCATTTTTACATATTTTAAAATATTTTATGTAATAATTGCAAATAATAATTATTTGTTTAACGCATAAAAAGTATAAATGTTATTAGAATTATTTATTTACGTTATTGAAATAATATTTACCTACATAATATTTATGTGTTTTATCATATAATAATTATTTACATACATATTGATTTTAAATAATTATTTCATTTCACATTTTGTACTTAATAATAATTATATTTTGGGTTCTGTTTTTTTTCCGAAATTGTGTGTTTAAAATGGTATGTGTTAGATACAAAAGAAAAATTGATTCTATAAAGGGTATAATTTGTAAAAAGTGTTTGTTTTGGTAATAACCAAAAGTCAACAAAAAATCGCAAAATTACAAATCTAGCATTCACTATTACGATTATGTTTTCGGTTTTCCATTCGAAGAGTTCAAATTCGAGATGCTTCCTCGAACAAATTGAACACACCATAAGAGAAAATTACACTACCAAAGACAATTACATTGCTTGATGTAAAATTAATTTTATTGCGGCGGTTAATTTACAGACCTAAAACATGAAATTCACATCTTTTCAAATGTATTTTTAATAGAAAACTGTTGAGTATTAATAATTCAGGCATGTTACTCGAATACCTGTCTTTATATATTAAAATTGTAAAACAAACCAAGACAGTATGATGTTAGATAACCATACGCGACACGATTTAGTTCCAACAAATAATTAGATTGCAGAAACAGAATTTCAATTTTAAAAATTTTAAATTCAGTACCAATTGTAGGCGTACAAAATGATATTTAACTATATAATTTAAAATTTATGAAGCAATTGTTAGTATAATGCGAGGTCTGAAACCCCGTACGCTGCACGGTTTAGTATTCACAATTAAAATTGCAAAAACAAAATAGAATTTCAATTTTAAAAATTTAAATTCAGTGACACTCCCAATTGTCAATCACTAATTTAAAATTTATCAATTAATTGTCTTTGTAAATTTTCGTAGCTCATGTTCTCAAACACGTAAACTTCAAGATTATTTTTATGATATGAGCACAATTTATCACGGAATCTATAATATAAAAAATCTCATTCATTTAAATATTTTTGAATTGTAACAAAAGAAATCACTTGTTTGTCACTAATACTAATCAAAGTGAAAGAAATGTAATGTCATTTTTGAGTGAATATTTTCTATATATTCACTAAAACTGTCTGCCATCTTCATTTTAACTAACATACAAATCTAAAAAATAATATTATTTGTATATTTTTATAAAATTTATCATATAGTTTAATGCCCTTACAAAAACTATTAGATGTAAATCAAAATTTTAAAAATTTATGAATGATTACAACATTTTAAACTTTAAACTTCTTTAATATTGCACTACATGAAGCATATTAAATAGTTAAAATTCTATTTTATATAGTACTATATAGAGAAGAGCTAAAGTTTCGTCTTTTTTCTATAAATATAATTCGATGCTATACTATGGTATACGTAAATCCTTTCTTTTTTAAATATATATTTCATAAATCTTCTGAATATATTATGTCCTTTTTGAATATATTATAAAATCCTTGTTTATGGTACCTATACAAATTTTGTGCAAAAAAAAAATCTTTAAAAATATATTCTGTTTTTTAGTAAAAATTTCTATGAATAACTGTATAGTTATTATGTAAGTATAGTGCAACAAAAAAAAAATTAAAAAAAAAAAAAAAATGTTAAAATAAAGAAAATAAAGTTATTAGCATAATTTTCCTGTTCATATACAAAACAATGTCTGTTATTTGGTTGTTTGCTTAAGTTTTAGCTATTTTTTCGGATATTTTAAAAATTTAGAAGCTGGATAAACCTTTGCATTATTATAAAACTTATATATACAATCAACTACATAATCTCTATAATATGTACATAATAATGTAGGTATATAATGTATATATTTGCTTATATGAGAATGTATAAAAGAATTTTTACAAATATCTAAATATACACGTTCATTGAAATACAACTACCTATATATATATATATATACACATTACAACTACATTATTTATATAAAATATTTAAGGTTATAGTTTTTCTTTAAAATATTTTTGTTTAGGAATATATGCAATATATATAAGTACTTTGCCCTATTTTAAATATTTATAAAATACGAGCTGGTTATGAAAATACCATTGCCATCTATTGTTAAAAAAAAAAAAAGATGAAATTTTTCGAGAATAACTAAATTTGGCTAAATTATATAGCAATCTCTTAGTATTCAAATGCAAAACCTGATTTATGTTGTAAAATTTCAAAGTTATTGCTAGTGTGATTATTCAACCCACCATGCATAATAAAGTTAACTGTACATATATTATTTTTGGTATCGACCGCATTGCATACAAATAAGGGAGGTTATGTGATAACATCAAATTTCACTTATGGAGTATTCGGTGAAAATGTATTTGTCCATGCTAAGGAAGTGTAAATAAACAATTTTTACAGAATCTGTCAGTCTATCTGTATGTTTTTGTGTCGGTCTGTCTTCTTTCTGATCCGATTTTTATGAAATATATAAGTTTTGTTATAATTTACTTCAAATTTAATATTTCAGTTTTGATTGCTACCGAAACTAACTGACAAACTATTCAGGGATTTTAGACGATACAAACTAAAACTGTACTAAGAGCCAAATTTAAATTTTTCTAGATACATTAACAAAAAGCTGTCTAACTTATATGTAGAAACAAGTGAATTTCTGTACTATAATAACAATTAAAGTGGTACTCACTTAAAAAAAAAAAACTTTTGCAGAACAACGAACAAAAACAAATTGTTTTATGAAGACATGAACTTAACCTTACTTTTTTCATATCGTAAAATTTGGGGTTAATATATTTGTTTCATCTTAAAACTTGGACTTAAAAATTATAAGTTGGAATTTTTATATGATATTTCGATTTATTTGTTAATTTCTCAAAATTTGAACAATTTATTGATTTAAACAATTTCTACAGGGCCTGTTCTCGCTCTTGAGTATCACAACATTAGCAAATTTTTTTAATTCAAACTCGTATACATTTACAACTTTCTTAAATATTTTATTTTCTCATGTCAAATAGTTTATTATATTAACTTGTATTTATTTATTTATACATACATACATAATATTATGTATATATGTACAAATAATGTACCGTTATTATTCTAAATAACTTTAATATATAAAATATGTAAAGTTTATTTTTTATATGATGGTGTATAATATGCGCCATAGTTATTTGTTTAGTTCATGACATCTATTTAGAATTTTTATATAGAATTTTCATTGTATAACGGTTAAAAATGTTAATTTTTATAACCATTTTACTTGAACAGCAGATAATATTATATGCCCATATATACATAATATCACATAAGTACCCATATGTATATGAAAACACTGTTATTTTACGTACATAATATAAATTTTGTAATAAAGTACAAAGTGAGAGGCAAAAAAACTATATTTTTTCCCCTATATTACATTAACATTATACTCTATAATATTAAGGAGGAAAATTGCAATTGTAACGGTTTATTTTTAGGTATATATTATAAAGATTTTACATTGTTATCCTTTTTTTTTGGTTATCCTGGCTTTGGTAAAAAAAAACTATTTATTTTTCATACATAATAATATTTTGATTTTTTTTTTTTATAAATGTTTTGATAAATACAAATATTTGGTTGTTTATTAAGGGATAAAAATATTTTACGGTAGTGATTTTTAATTTGCTCTTATTGTAAGCAAGTTTCTACACATATAGTCGAAAAATCGCATTATATGGGCAATGTCCGTATAAAGTGTATGTGAAAAATTATGTATAAAAGATCAAAGATTGCCAAGGTGTCAGTGGCGTTCACGTTTACCCTATTGAAAAAAAACGATTATTAATGGAATTATTTTCACAGTATTACGATAATAACAGTATTTTACGATATTAACAATTTTTATATTCTAATTTGTTCAACTTTTTAATTTTAAATGGTACAACAGAGAACCAAATACGCAATGCCGTTTTTAATTTTTAGGAATGTTTGTACTTTATTTGTACGTATGTGTACTAGGCAAGTCGAAAGGGTTAAAATTTAAATTCTTCATAGCTTACAAGTTATCAACATTTAGCTAACGTATATGAATTAGTTACGAAGTTATAGAAATGATCTTAAAATTTATTTCAAACTTATAGAATTTCTCAACTTAGCAATTCAGTTAGTATAAAAGCTTGTAATTTTTTTTTTTGCCATTAATGCCTTCAATTACATTTGGAATTAACTGAAATGTTTGTCTATTATAGAACATTACCAATATTGAGCTCAAATTTTAATAAGTGACTCTTCAACAGCTTTTCAAAAATATACGTATATCTGTGTCTGAACTTGGGATATTTTGAAAACCAATTCAAAATTGTCTTTGAAGGAAAATTTTAACGAATGTTATGTAATAATGAAAAAATTGTTATTCGTTTTGAGCCTTGAAGGCTCAAAATCCGTTTTCCTGACTACAAAAATTTATTTTTTTTTTAGAAATAAAGACTAAAATTCAAATATTTTTTTAGTGGTGCACAATATTCACGTTCTGCATTTTATTACAAAATTTTATGTAAATCCAAAATTCTATTTTTTTCTTTTGGTTTTTCTTCTAATTCTTGTTGAAAATTTTTGAGTTGAAAAAGGTTAATCTGTTCTCTTCATCCTTTTACATCCTTGCCGTTTTTTTGTAAATTATTATTTTTTCTTTCTATGTAAGTGGTTTCTTATACTTTTTTCCTATTTTTGTTCAAAAAGTGCAATATGTCAAAAATTTCTTTTTTTTTTTTCGTTATCCTCATGTAT